CCTCCCTCCCTCCCTCCCTCTCTCCTCCCCACCTTCTTATAATTATGTCTTTCTTGGTCTTTCCCTTCCATTCAGCCATCCATTTGTGCTTCACATATTTGCTTTGCAATTTTAGCCTCATTGATCAAACTATTTCAGTATACTTCTTTCACTTTGGCCACTCATTTTTGTTTGCAGTCCACATTCATTTATCACGCATAGACTCAATCTCCACTTCTCTCATCACACCCTTCATTCAGCTTCCTTTTATGTTTCTCCTGGCATACTTAACATTAACTTCTATATTATTAAGGCAGCAGAAGTACACTCTTATACCCAAAAGCAAATATTGCTTTTTGACAAACTTTTATTCCTCACAATAGATCACAGCCTATATACATTTTTATCAGTATTTGGACTCTTAAATTTTCTTCATTCATGTTCACATCTTTAGTTAACATGCTGCCAAGTTACACAATTTCATTTATATGCTCTGGTTTTTTTACCAGTTATATATAGCTCCTAATCATTATGGGTTTTTTTGTCAAACATAGCCTCCTTGGTCTTCTGTATTATATTTATGATTCTTCTATTTTCCAAGATGGTGGTAGTCAATGAAGTTTCCCTTAATCAGCTTCCTGGCCAATGAGATCATCTGACAGTTTGGGGTGCAGTATCAAAGGTTTGCTGATGATACCCAATTATATCTCACTACTCCTGGATGTAGGGGAGATGCTGTCTGTGATCTATCCTAGACTCTGGTGGTTCTAAGGATTGGAATGAGAGACAACAGGCTGAAGTATATTTTAAGCAAGATGGGATTGCTGTTTATACATCAGGGTTTCCCATTGGCAACAGTGTTATCTCTGGACAGGCAAGCACTAGATGTAAAAAATCAGATTTGTGACTGGAGGTTTCGGGAGGGGGGAGGAGGCTTTGACTCAAGGCTCCTACTTAAACAGCAGGTACAAGCCATGGCTGGAGGTGCCTTACTTGATGCAGGAGGACCTGGCTACAGAACCATGTCCTTATTATTGTGCAAATAGACTACTACCATAATGTGCTTTACATAAGGCTACCTCGGAGGAATATTTACAATTTATATCTGGTCCAGGATGCAGTATTCTGTTGATCAACTGGTACCCAAAACTAGGAACTTCTAACATCCATATTGCAGACTCTGTATTAGATGCTGACTCAATTCTGATTACAATTTAAAGTGTTGCTTTTAGTCTATAAAACCCTTTTGTTATTTGGTACCTGCAGGATTTTCCTTTCCAACTTGTCTCAACCCAACTTACTAGATCACAGAGGGGGAAACTCCTCATGGTCTCACACTGTCAGGAGGAGGCCAAAGTGAGTAGGTACTGAAGTTCTATGACTGCTTTGGTGTTCCATATGGCTGGCCATGCTCATGGCTTTCTGTTAAGCTTTTCAGAGAAACATCTGTAGAGATTCTCAGTCATTGTTATGGTTGTCACAAAGGTGCTTTTTTTCAAAAGGCAACTGAACTTTGTTTTTCCTTGAAAACATTTTGTTTCTCATCCCAAGAAGCTTCTTCAGTTCTATTCAGTTCAGAAATGAAGAAGGTTCTTGGATGAGAAACGAAATGTCTTCAAGGAAAAACAAAGTTCAGTTGCCTTTTGAAAAAAGCATCTTTTTGGGTTTTCCAGAGAAAAGTGTTCCAAAGAGGCTTAGCTTATTTTTCCTTTTTTCCTTTTCTATTTTTGTTGTTTTTTAACAAAAGGGCCATTAATTTGGTTGCTAATTTCTTGAAGCAGTTTATTTTCATTGCTTTAATTATTTTGTGGGTATTTTAATTTTTTGCATACATGTGATATCCCCAAAGAGCTTCTCACAGTTGTTTATAAGATGGGGCTGTAATGATGATGATAATGATATTATCCATTCAATTGTGCCCCACTCTTGATGATTCCATGGGTCAGATCTCTCCACACCTTCTGACCTTGCATTAGTTTTTCTATGATCTGACTGGTGTCAGTTTTGATGGTGTCCAGTCACCATATGGGATGCTATAGAAGTGTTTTAAATAAAATAAATATCAACTGCTGAGATCTGCAAGGTTGAGGTGGGATATAAATGAAATAAATAAATGTTCAGATCCATATTGTTTCAGAATGCAGTTGAACAATCACTGTAAATGATTTGTGTCTTAGGCATCAACTTAACATTGTCTGCAGATAGATAGATATAGACCACACTTATTACACTGAACAACTCAACTTTCAACTCCATATTGGTGCAAAGGTTTTCTACATCATATACAATTTATTCTGCATCTGCTGTAAATTAGCAAACATGCTGTAAGCTAACTTTATTACTTTCATATAATTTTCCATTATTTCCTGGAGTAAAATCTGGTCTGTGCACCTCCTTCCCAGCATAGAATTGCAGCACTTCACAAATTTTATTCACTGCCACCTTTGTGACCTGACAATTAAAAATCTGCCAAAAGCTTTCCCAAGTACATTTCACACACTAATACCCTACTCCCTCATCTTTTTGTCCTTTTTTTAAGAGAATAGTAGTGGCATTCTTTCCATCATCAGGCATGAATATAGTCTTTTCAACCATTAAATAAGTCGCACAATCATTTCATTAAAAAATTGAATCTATAACCAAACCTTTATATAAATATTTTTCTAATTACATCATCAACACTGGCCAGCCTTAGTATTTTCCATCATTCTTGACAGTGTTTATGATTTTTCATTGTTTTTTCCTAAAACAGAAGTGTTTACAATATTTATTTCAATTTCACTCTTCAAACTGTCCCTGTCATTCCCATAATATCTGTAAAGCATAGTACTCAGTCCTGAATTTCTTCACTTAGATTTCATCTCAAAACATTTTATCACTTTTATTCTTAACCGCAATCTGGAAATTCTTTAGCCTTTCTTGCCCAATTCCAAAATAATCCTTTATTTCCCTAAACGTGTCTTCATTCTTCCTACCTCTTTTAATTTTAACCATTCTTTGCTTTTCTTAACGTCATTACTGAATGTAGATTAGGTTCTCAATCTCTTCCCAGCAATCAGTCTATATATCTTTTTCTCATTTGTTGTCTCTTTTAAATCATTTCAGCCAATATCTTTTTCATATTAGCATAAAATTGTGCATACATTTGTGGCCCTTTGCAAGATAAACCTTTTGCCCTGTCCTGTTTCAACATTGTCTTCCCTTTTTCCTTCCTTCCTTCCTATACGTCTTTCCATTTTCTTCCTTATATTCTTTTCCATTTCAACATTGTCTTCCCTTTTGTCCACTTTCCATTCTTTTGTTTGAGAAATTTAATATGTCTCTTAATATGTTTTTATACAGGATTCTTATTTACTTTGCCTGGTCATCTTCAAATGGGCCCATTGACACTGATCTCTGCTGTAGCTTTTATAAGGGAAGAAAAGAACAGAATAAGTCACCAGCTTTAGTTGTCCATTTCTAGCATTTCTTGCTAGCAATATGGACAACACCTGTCAGTTTCATGGATTTTGCAACGTGCTCCTAATGCAGCCACATGGTTAGAATTAGGGCTAAATGCTTTCTTCAAAGCTTTTCGTGTTATTCTCATTGGAATTGATATGGTTGAACTTTTTTATCATGATAATTATGTTTCAGGAGATCATTTTTCTCTCATTTAAAATAGGGGGAGTTTGAAACCAGGCAGCACACAATGCCTGTGGCACAAGAATGTAAGATTCTTTTTTAAGAAATCAAAGCAGAGGTAATATTAAAATAAAAGCATTCTGTCTTCATGTTAGAAGGGGGAGCCATTTTTTTTAATTTGTTCAGATGGACACACTGTGAACCAAGAGCAATTCATTTATGTGTCTCTTTACAATTGCAGTAGAATATTTTGTATTTTCAGTCAGTGGATACTGATTAATCATGTTGCTATTTACCAAATTGTGTGAAGTTAGGTCAAACCAGTAATAATGAAGTTGGCTTTTAGCTGGCATTTAGGGCAGACTATTTAAGGTTATTAAAGATAAATACACCACTGAGATG